AAATTAAATAATGGTGACATTTAATATAATTCTTTTTAATTCAAGAAATAATTTTGTAAGCAATAAGTACGAGTACATGCTTTTGAGAAAATAATAAATATTTCATTGATGAACTTCACAATAAATTAAAGATATGAATACAAATCTGAAAGTAATAATATATTTATTATTGCCATTAAAAAAGAAAAACGCTATCAGCTATTTCTTTTTTAACATTTGAAACTAATAATTATGTAATTTATAACATTTAAAAATGAATTTCATTTTTATATTTATTTATATAAAATAATATGAACAAAAAAATTGTAACTTCTAAGTAATAATGAACAAAAATTATATAAAATGAAGAAAAATTCTTAATATGAAAATTAAGAATTTCTTACTTCTAAGTTGTTCAAACTTATTTTTAAATTTCAATGATTGTCTTTAACCAAAAATTAAGATGAGATATCCCAAATCCCACTTACCCAGTATATCATCTCGTGTGCAGCTTGGTTTGTAGGTGAGTTCATATGATAAATTTGGGTGTTTCGTATAAAATTATTGGTTTCTTTCTTTTATTTCGGAGTAGATGTCCCAAAAAGTAAATTTTATATTCTGAAAAAAATCATTCCGAATTATAGCTTCTACATTCCAGAATAAAAGATTGCGAACCAAAAATTCATAGGTGTTGTCCACAGAAGTCGTCTAGGAAACAAATGAAGACTAGAGGCTTTTCTGCCATTGGCCTTCAATAAACTTTCTGAATGAAGGTTAAAAAAACGCCGTTTTTGTCCAGAAAAGGATATGGCATAATATATTAATACAAGAGAGGGTCAGATAGTGAATACAAAATAATGAGGGGGAAATATTCAGTCTTCGTAATACAAAAGCTAATAATTCTCTTACAAATAAATCAAACTTAAGACATTGGGAAAAGATTGACAGATTGTAAATAAAAAGCTAATAGAAGAAAAAAAATCAAGCATTTTTCCCAACAAAAAACAGATTTGAACAAAAAAACTTACAGAAGATACAGCCTTACACTTGCCAATTCCTGAACTTTATGAACAAGGGCAACTCGCGATCTGTTGCCAAAACAACTATCATGATGGGAGATATGATCACGCCATATAAAATGTAACTAATTTCATTCGAGTTCCTCTACCACCCACCAGTTTAAAACCATTAACCATGGAAGTTGACACGATTATTCGGAGAAAAATTCAAGCGCCAAAGAAAGATACAAGTTCTTAAATAAGCCGTAGTTCGTACTCTCCAGCCATCGTTATGTATCTCACCCATGGAAGAGCCTGATAACCACTTTTCTCAATAATCTTCAAATATCTAACCTATTAAACCCAAACATTTACATGTTGATTACAATCAAATCAAATCAAACCTTTCAACTAACTGAATAGCACCATCAAAACATGTGGGTATGTCTTCAAATTCACATGGATCAAGTAAACTACTTTTCTAAACAATTTATCATGGTCAATGGAAAATTAAGTTTGTTAGTTTTTTATCCTTTCCAAATGTCAAGTTCCTTTTTCCACAATTATTTGTGTATATTAATATTTTTTAAACATTTATTGTGAATTCTGAATTGTGAAAATAATATTAACTAAAACAAATTCATCAAGTTTACTACAACCCTAAATCCATTGAAATAATAAAAATGTTAACACACAAATGGAGTGAAAAAAAGAGATAAGGGAAGAGTAGATACGGATTAGAATAAAAGGTCACATTCACCTAAATTTAAGCAGAGATACTAACACATTAGATTTCCTAAGCCGAAAAATATAATCTAGCTACATTCTATATATAAGAAAACCAGATTCATGATGCAATACCTGTATGCCAGAAACAGTAAAGTATGGTATTTCAAATTTGACACTTATAGGGGCTTTTCTCTCAGGAGTTGCATCCTCATCTGTTATACTTGGAAGACGAAACTCTGCTCTCAACATATATTCCTGAAAGAATCAAGGAGGAAAACCAGATCCAATAAATCAGGATCAAATTGAGGTACCAAAAGATGGGTGTTATTCAAGGATTCAATGCCTATTTCAAGTGAACTCATACTTTGCCTCCAGGGAAGGATCTAATTTTCCAGATTAACGCATCCTTTTCAGGTGCATATGATGCAGATCCCATTGAAGTTCGAACATTAGGATTTGTTGCATCAACAGGCACTGGCAACTCAATCTCCACATTTGTAGCAGTGCTATAAAATCAACTCAATTAGTTGGGGCAGCAAAGACAGTTTAGGTTCTAGAGATCTAAAACATGATCTTCTATCACCAGGGGGTAGGAAACATAGCAAATATAAGAAATCTCATTACCTACGCTCCTTAAATTGACTCCTTGCTTTTACCATAATCTCAATCCGACTCTTTGAATGCTTTTCAACACTTGCTTCCACCCAAATTAATGGCTTAACCTGAAAAAAAGTGATGATAGAATCATCAGACTTCAAAATGCTTTTATTCTCCCTTTCTCTGTTTACCTCTAAAAATAGAAACATATGTCATGTCTAGAGAAAAAGATGAACCTGTGTACTGAGCCTGTATGTCATCAAATCAAACGACCCATCAGGTGGTATAAAGGAAATTGTTCTATCATTTTCAAATCGAGCCAAACGCACACACCTTCATAAAAGGCCAGATATAATTTGAGAACTAGCATCAAGAAGAAGAAACATGCTTAAAAAAATTATACAAAATTTTAGGTTTAAATTATCATTTTCTAAATACAAGGAAGTCTAGCATACATACTGATGAAATTTGATGTCTTCTAAGTCAATAGCCTTTCCCTTTGTTGTTCTACCTTGTGCCTCTAACAATACTCTATCATTTAAGCCAAGTTTGCACTCAGGCATACCACTGTATTAAATAAGCCATGAAAGGCACACTTGAGTCAGATAAATACACTAACATATAAGTCAATTAGAATAACAGATACTTCAAGGTTAACACAGTCTACCAAATACTTTCAACTGTAAAAAAATAGGCAGCGGAACATGGATTCAGTGGATGGACGAGTCTGTAATATATCTAACACAAATAAGTATGTTTAGCAAGAGCTCTGTTAAAGAAAGCCTTTGGAGTAAGGAGTACCAAATTAAAAAGCCAATTTTTCAAATTCCAGATAACAACCCGTAATGGCTGGTCTAACAAATGCTATAGCGGGATAGCCACTATTTAGAAATTATTTGTATGATTTATACAATGCATACTATATGCATACATATTCTCAAAAATGGTAAGCATTACTCAATTAATTACATTCAATTCATAGATAACAGTAAAAAGTCATTGGTGTCAACAAAACATACAAGCAAATACCAACAAAAGTGAAATACAAGTTTCCTAGATAGGAATAATTAATTATCATCTTCTAATCCAAGTCTTCTTTATCATTTTGACCTATTACCATTCCAGAATTCTATGTCATCTATATACAACTACATATATAAAATTAAGTATTTAATATATAAAAAAAAAATTAGAGCAGAGGTCATTCTACTATCTCACTTTTGGGGTCAGCCACTCCGCTATCCAGGATTGACTGCTATGGTTGAATTCATTTTTGAAACTGAAATCCCATATACCCACCCTCCCACGAAAAACCCTAATGATGTTGTTTAGAGGACTTAGCACCAGCAATAATCCTGTGATGGGCAGGCGTCACTCCTCACCACACTATGCTGCTATTGCACATCACTTAAAGTGCTGAATAAAGCTATCCACCAGCCTGCGTAACCAGTACAAAGTAAAAAACCGAAATAACAA